TATATTAACTTAATGGGTGAGGTTTTAAACAGTATTTTGCAAGCTAACACATCAAAACAGATCAAATGGACACAGGTAATTAGTCCTGTATAAATCAAACAACTTCATATCATTCCATTGATAAAAGGTTACATGGGAGGTGTCCATTTTTGGATTGTCAGTGTTCATCATTGTAGTATTACTCTAATTCCACTTTGAGTCTATGCAGATCTTGATGTTTGCCTGGCAGGTTCTTTTCAGGAAATAATTCATATTTACTAGACTTTGTAAGCTATTAAAATTCTAATTCCATTATCTGAATTGTTTCCCTCATGGGACTGTTCCTTCTGACTCCTTCCCCTAGGATGACTGTTAGCTTCACTTGGCTGAGCCCAGGATTGGTGTGCCAACATTTGGTAGATAATGGCTTTGACTCCTCTTTCTCACTCAAGGACGCCTTTGGATCCAGCCCATGTTAATAGGCTAGTGTAATTTATAGTGCTGTTGCAAGGAGAAATGTATCTTAAGTGCTTTAGTATGTAGCAAATAAGGACACAATCCTTCCGAAGGAAATTCAGTTGATTTCAGTGGGAGAGTTAAGAATATGTTTGACAGGACTGTACGTTAAATATTATAAATTGCCATTATTGTATATAATATGGCCTAAGCATGGCATATGGACCTTTTTGGATAACTGCAATCATATACTCTTCAGCATGTCTCTTAAAGCCCAGCTTTAATCAGTGTTAAGGCTTTTTCTGTTGAATCAGTGAAAATAAAATCTGTACTGGGACTTTAATAAATTTATTGCACAGATTTTCTGCCTGTGAAGCTTGAATGTAAATGCTATAATCTAACTTTCATCCTGAATTGCATTTTTTTTTTAAACCCAACTTTCATGCTTAATTGCTGCTGTAGTTCTAGTACATTTTCTTTATCATTCTTTTCACACAATGCATTTTACTCCAATAACAACATGTGCTGTGTGCTTTTATGAAAAGCACTCTCTGGAAAACTTGGACATTTTCCACTGGAGTCCCTACAGACCTATCCAATTTGAAAATACTCTGTTTTATCCTCTCCTTAATTACAATATGTGGAGCTGTGCTCTTTTAACTGTTTTGAAGTTTTACAGAATAATGATTCTATCCCAACTATAAAGAATAAGACAGAGAACTATTCACAGTTGGAAGCCAGCTGTTGCTTAGCTACCTAGCTTTTTAATTCAGAATCTCCTCCAATTTAATAATAACCAGCCCTTAAGCTGCTAAATGTATTTGTTCATGACACATTGTGCCATTTTCTCATATTTTTCACCTGTTACAGCAATTATGGTGGGGCAAGGAAGGCATTTAGTGAGGCATTAATGCAGGGTCTAAAATCCAAAATTTACATTAGTGCAGATGAAATCTTCATTAAAATTGCAGTATTGAAATTGTCAGACTAGAAAACAGTTTGGAGGCAAAATAACAATCCATTGGCTTTAGTATATGACATGGAGCTTGCCTATCCCACGTTAAGGCTACCTCCATTCACCTGCTTTACCCTAACACATTATAATTTGAAGACAGGTGGCTTTGGCTGCACTGCTTTACTGCTGAAGGCACAATATCCTTGATAAATGACAAAACTATGATTCTCATCTAATAGGGATGTATCAGTTGACTCAGAGAGAAGTTTTCAAAATACATTTGACAAGTCTTTTCAAATGGAACAGTTTCCTTGCAGGAGGTACACTCCAGTGCCCGTCGTAATGCAACCTATATCAGCAAATGAAAGCTATATAAATTTGAGAGGGGGGAGCCTTGGGTAGCAGCGGGAAACTCTCAAATCTTTTTATATAGCATAGTTTTTCTATCCCTGCTTTCCATGGGCTACAGTGGATAAACATAAGAGGATAACCATGACCATAGATATCGGCAACAGCCATTCCTGTAATTGCAGTGGCACTTTTTTAGCCACTGTGGCTTGGGAAATGCTGACAGTCCCATACAGGATTTTCCTGTCCATACACTCTGTACACAAAGCAAGTGTATACACCAAAGATGATTTGGTATTATGCTGAGAGAGCCAGGGTAGTGTGGTATAGTGGTTAGAATGTCAGACTAGAATCTTAAGACCCAAATTTGAATTTTCACTCTGCCATGGCAGCTTTCTGGGTGACTTGAGGCTGATCTCAGCCTAACCTACCTCACATAGGTAGCATCATGAGGATAAAATGGAGGAGGGGAGAACAATGTGGTAAACTGCTTTGGGTCCCCACTGGGGAGAAAAGCAGGGTATAAATGAAGTAAATAAATCATAAGATACCCTAAGAGTCAACATTTTCCTCTGTGCAGTACTGTGTCGATCTGTTGATCGACCACTACTGCACAAGTGCAGAACCAACCACTACTTAACAAGTGTGTCCTAACAAATATACTTCAGAGTAAGGCTCATTCAAACTGCTAAATTGTAGAGAAATAATAGTGCAAACCAGGTAAGCGTTGACCGTTATGAGAACAGATGCACATTTCCCCGCCATGTGTAATTATGGTAGTGCCATATAGCCTGACCTTTCCATGCTGGCATTGAGGTGTTGTGACTCTGAGTCTAATACCAAGAAAGCCACTTCTTTTGGCTTTTGTTGCAAGGGTCAACATAGGTGGATCTGTCGGTTCTTGAATGTTGTCATTAGTTCCCTAAGGAGTGAAAATGAGGTTTTCCCGGAGGAGGATCCATTGTAAAGTAGCCTAGTGGAGAATGGGATTTAAGGCAATTTTAGATATGCTGAGCCAGAAGGCAAGTCCTGTGCCTGTTTCTTGGCCGCAGCTGGTATGTACAGCTGTATATAAGTTTTGTTCAGTAAATCTCTAATTCCATCTGCCACATATTTGCTTCGTATAAGGCTGTACATTTAGTCTCACCTTTCTCAACTATTTTTCTTTTTGTTGCCCTATACTTTTTAAAATTAATAATGTATCCAGTTCCAGTACATTTGAAAGCTGCACTGTTCAGCTTTGAACAGATTACTTGCACACTGTTGAATTCTGATATAAAAAGCATGCTTTTAGCCAGGCCTCCTTGGAATTACAGTGGTGTTGAAAGGAAAGAGAAAAATTAAAAAGTGCCTTTGGTGTGTACTGTGACAAGATGTAAACCCTTATACTGAGGTCACACCTTATAAATATTTATTCCTATAAATTTCTTTAAAGAAATTAAATTATGTGTTCTATACAAAGTAGACAAGAAAGGCTTTTAGTGTCACTGGCTGTAAATTGAAGTCATTTGTCTAGGAGGGTCAGGTGCCACTTTGTGGTAAGGATTTGTCTAAGATCCAGGCAAAGGAAGATTGATAGCACAAAGAGCAAGATGAAATGAGCAATGCAATATGCATATGAAGTTGTGGGTTAATTAGGAAAATTTAAACCAGCAAGTTTCTGTTGTTTGAATTAGGGATTGTTACTTTCGATACTGGGTGAGCTTGGCAGCCTTATATATTTAGGCTCTGATTTCTTGCAGTATTTTAGTGGGAGGTGAATGCTTGTGAATACCAATGAAGAGAACAATCTTTGCTGCATACATGTTATTGTTAATGAGACTTGCTTAGCAATTTTTAAGGTTAATATACATTCTTTTGTCATCAGCTGTATTCTCATTAATGTAACCCACAAACTATCTGCATTTTCCATTGCTCGGAATACATTTTTTTAATGAACTGCAACACATTTCATTGAATTGCATTCCTATAACTTTGTGCCAAGGGTTCCATTTTTCTGACCAGTGAGCTTTGAAGTGCTGAAAGATTTGTGATTAAGCTGTCATTATGAACAATTTGCAGGATCCCTTTCTCATACAAAACAGAGGAAAGCAAACTTTTCATTTTACGTTCTGCAGAATTATGTATGAATCAAGTATTTGCAAAATCCTGTACAAATAAAATAGTCTACTGAACTTTTGTTTGGACTTACTGTTAAGGATGTGTGGGTCCACTCTGTCATATCTGAAAACAGCATTTGAGATTGTCCATACTGGTTGTGAATAATATATATACGAACCCCCGAAAGCTGTTCACCACTGATATAAGCTTTTATAATGGCAGTATATGACAACCCCCCTGACCAGGATAGCTCAGGCTAGCCTAATCTCAACAGATCTTGGAAGCTAAGCAGGGCAGTTCCTGGTTAGTATTTGGAATACCTGGGTCACTATGCAGAGGCTGGCAATGGCAAACCACCTCAGAACATCTCTGGCCTTGCAAACCCTATGGGGTCATCATAAGTTGGCTGTAACTTGATGGCAAAAAAAAGAGCCACTGTGATATATTAGTTAGAGTAAGGGTCCCCAATCTTGTGGAGCCTGTGGGTACTTCTAAATGTTGAGAATGCGTAGTGGGTGTCTCCACAAAAAGGCTGCCATTGAGGATGGGGTTGATCACAAATGATGGAAGGTTTCACCATGTTTTGTTTCCAAACCAAGTATCCTCCTACAGTGGAGGTAGCTGTTACTGAATGGGTGCTGCTTGCAGACATAGAGATGATGCCTCTTGAACTATTTGGAAGTACAGTGCCTCTGATGAGGTGGAGAAGAGCCAGGATTGGCACTTTGCTTTGGGGGAAAACTAGTAGGTGCCATAAAACAATATGGCACCCTTGGGCATTTCACTGGGAATCACTGAGTTAGAATGTTGCAATAGGATGAGGGAAACACAGGTTTAAATTCTCACTCAGTCGTAAAGCTCACTGTGTGACCTTAGGCCAGTCATTTTCTTTCAACCTAATCTACCTCACAGAGTTATTGGGAGTATAAACTGAGAAAACGGTGTGCCACATGAACTCTGTGGGGTAAAAGAGAGAGAAATAAGTAACAGAGTATATATGCATAATATTTTAATATTCCAAGGAAGTACAATCTGGTTTAATGGTAACTATAAAGCATATATAATTTAAATAAGTAACTTTAACAAAATGCTGGAGCAGAAAGACATGTTTATTGAGTATGTAGTGGTGAATATTAACACTAATTTTATTTTTACTTTGCAGAAACCAAAGCCGAAAGACTGGCATCCTCCTGGGGGATTTATTTTGGGACTCTGGGCACTGATTATCATGGTCTTTTTTAAAACCTATGGAATCAAGCACATGAAGTACGTCTTCTAGAGTTTCTAATCTGGCTGCACTGAATACATCCTTGAATGGAAGTACCATTTACATAGATAAAGAGAGTCGGTCCTCTTTCTAAAAGTTCTTGTCATGTGTTTTCTTTGTTTATTTTATGTCATGTTTAAAGCCATCTTATGGCAAGTTTAGGACACAACTTTGTACCAAAGATGATCACTTTGACCTGTGAGCTCCTGTCACTGTACACATGGGGTCCCCCTAACAGTAAGAGCCTCCCCTTCCTATAAAATGAGTGTGGAACCTTGTACATAGATGCTCAGACCAGTTCTAAGATGTTAAACAGGTGTCCATTCAGGAATCTTCTTTACTGAGGGGTACAAAAATATTTCAAAGAAAATTGCTGCATTAGTACTTAGGGGACCTCTCAGGCTTCTTGTGGCCTCCATGTGCAGTGCTGGGTATGTACTTGTTTTGCTGGAGGTGCAGACACTTGAGTCCAGGTGTTTTCTTATCCTCCCCCCTCCCCAAGACAAGCAGACCTTCAGTTCATGTGTATCATGTTAGGAGGGGAAATTGTTAGGTTGAATTCAAAAGTCATTTCCTACGAACATACTAACATAATCTTGGCACGTTGGGCCAAGCAATGTGAGTCGCCTTGAGCCCGCTTGTGGGGAGGGCGGGCTAGAAATGTAATCAAATAAATAAATAAATAAATAACTTCTGGCTACAGATGGGGGGGGGACAGCATTTTCTTTGATTCCCTTCTTGTGGTACAGTCCACTGAACTCCCTGGAATCATGCTTCTGGGGAATTGGGGGGCAAGTGTAGATCTGCAGTGGGATGGGAGAAGTGGCAAAATCTGTCTCCCTCTTCCTCTGGAGGAAAAAACACTTTGGCTTTCTGCAGGCTTATATCTACACGAGAACATCTTGCGCTGGGATATCTGTATGCATAGGGGTCCTAGATCAAGGAATGCAATTGAATACATGGGTGAAGAGGAACCCACCAAAATGATACTGGAATATTTTAAATGCTAAAATATATTACAAACTACAAAGGGGCTTCCTGAGTAAATCTTACAAAATAGTTATCATAGCTGAAATGAAAGTTCAGACAATATGCTGAACCTTATTTAAGATGTCATTTTGCCAATAGAAACTTAAGTCACTTTGTGTACTTTTGCCATGACATATTGAACACTTACTCAACAGAAACAAAAATACTGTAGGAAATATTGATTTACTCTGTTAAATACGGCCCCTTAGATCAATTGTTTTACCTAGGGCAATTCTGCTTCTTACATTCTGTGAATCATTAGAATTGAAACAAAAAAAATAACCCAAGCAATAACCTCACTGCTTGATGAGGGAACTGCCTGAAAAGTCTAGCCTCATGTTCAGCAGAAGATGTGCAAGTTGATTTTGGAAAATCTAAGGTCTCCAGAGTAGTGTATGAAATTTGGAGTGCATTAGTACACAATCTGTGCACAGAGAATATTGTAATAAATTTCATTAAGGCAATGCACTCAAAAATCAAATGTACCTTCTGTTGTTATAGATATTTGTGTTTAGTGGTATTGATTAATGAAATGTGTTTGTAGAGAAAATAAAATGTGGAGGAAAACAACTTGCCTACAGGATACTTTTTGGATACATAAAGTGTTTCTCTCAAGTCACTGGAAGTTTCTTCATTAGAAATGGTATAAGCATAGGAAATTCTCATGCAGTATGTGCAGTTTATGTAACGGAAGCTTTTCAGTGCACTATTGTTAGTAAGTTGGACAAAATGCATGAAGCCCAAGAAGCTGTGCTGCACTGCAGAGGAGTACAGTGCGCTAACTGTATTCAGGTGGTGTTTAGCTCCATTTTATCCATGATGTTGTTGTGAAGCGTAAAGTGAACATAAGAACTTGGAAATGATGCTGAATAAAATGGAAGACACAAAACAGTATTTCTGATCTCATTTTTTTTCTGTGCACATTTGCTTACCTGGTTCAGATGTAATGTGAAAATAACTATGGCTAGGTGGGTTTTATGGATTTAATGCTATACCCATTTTTTTGCGCTGGACTAGAAATACTTCATGGATTTCATCCCATCACTTGGATCATTATAGAGACAATCAGAGGAATCCTCTGAAAGGCTGAGAAATTGTGATCAATGGTCAAAAATGATCTTTCTCAGAAATCAGGTGCACCTACAGAATCATGATGGGAAGGCTCAGTGGTCCCTATGCCTGTGGGTAATGAGAAGTCCTGTCTACTGTTGTCCCTTCTGCTGTTTCTCTTGGCATGCACACTGAGAAGGACAAAAGGCATGGCACCTTTGCTCTCTACACATGTGTACTGGTGGGGGGTAATCCCAAAAAAGCAGCAAAAGAAATGGTGGCTCTATAGAATCTATAGATACAATCAGCAGGTTCCCTGACCCACCTGAAGGTCTTGACTCATTAGTTGGACCACATGCTTAGGGAAAGGCAAGTTCTGTACAGTGAATTTGTTCTTAAGGGAACCTCTGTGTATCATCCAGTGTATCAGACAGCAACAGTTCCTTCACTCCTATCTCAAAATAAAAAGCCACATTAAAAATTATAGCAAAAATGAACTTAATAGAACCCTGTTCCAGTTGCAATTAAACTTACTGTCCCCGTTTCCTAGGCATTATCAAGGGCTCAACTTAAAATGCCCATCTGAGTGAAAGTAGTGGACTTGGGTTGGATTCAAAGGAGAGGCAGAGAGGCAAGTCAAGATGTCCTTCTGAAAAGATAATCTGCTTAGGGAAGAGAGGTAATTAGGTAGGTTATTAAAATGCAATTTATGAAACGGAAAAAGTAGTAAGTATGCTGGTAAAGCTGATTAGCAGAGGTGAGAAAAGCAATTAGATTGAAATGCAGCAATCCATGCTCAATGAGTTTGAGGATAAGACTTCTTTTTACACATAAATGGAAGACAATCAGGTTGCATGCAGTGCTTGCAGTGTCCACCAACATTATGTTCAGGGGCATTTTGCTGTTTGTTCTGCAATTAAGTGGGTAGCATCCAAGGGCTTAAGTGTTGTAGTGCTGGAGAACTGTATAGCAATCCAACTCCGAGTTTCACAACTACAGAAGTATAGGTTAGTGCCTCCATGGATTATAAAGGCCACTATTGCTTGATAGTGCTCTGCGACACTTTGAAAAGTTATTACAGGGCACAGAATACAGGTAGGCAGCAATCCTAAACATACTCATTTAGGAGTAATCCGTTGAAGATGGACAGTAGGAAATAAGCTAAACTGCCAAAACCCTGCTACATTTGTTGCATTAAACAATGGTATTGCACCTGACAACCAATGTAAGTATGGCAAATGTATACTTCTTGCTTCATTCCATTGACTGCTGCTGCTATTCTTTTAATTGGAGAGGTGCTAATTGCCACAGTCATGTTCATAAACTTTCTTGGAATATCCACACAGTCAGCAAACCTTGGCTCTTGTTAGAAGTCTAATCAGTAATATCAAGCAGCAGAATATTTGATCAGGCATTGATCTTTACTCTTTTTTGAACTTGTATGGAAACGCTTCTAATTTTCCTAGGGTTTAGAAGTTTCCTTTTTTAAGAAGAAGAAGAGATTGGATTTATACCCCGCCCTTCACTACCCAAAGGTGTCTCAGAGCGGCTTACAAACGCCTTTCCCTTCCCCTCCCCACAACAGACACTGGGGCTGAGAGAGCTCTGACAGAAACTGCTCTTTTTCAAGAACAGCTCTTATCAAAACTATGGCTTTCCCATCCAGCCAGGTGCAAGTGGAGAAGTGGGGAATCAAACCCGGTTCTCCCAGATTAGAGTGCACGCACTTAACCACTACACCAAACTGGCTCTAAGCTTAGTATATCCAAATAAATAATGTAAGCTTTAGCTTCCTCTAATTAAGACATTTAAGAATAAATAATCTATTTACACACTGCCACCTGCTGCTTGTGGGAAAGCTATTTTTGCCTGTGCAAGGAACTTCTCATCAAACTTGAACTAGTCCTTGTTCTGGACCTTTCTCTACCGATCAGAAGTGACAGCCACTGGCTCAGTTTCTTGTCCTAGAATTTTTGCATTCACAAGCAGAACTGCATGAGAAGTGATTTCTCTTCTACCTGTGAACCTCTTGGTCTTGCCTTAAATTATTAATTCCAATTCATTATAAATAGATTGCATTAGAATCAATGAGACTGACAAGCTAAAATCCAGTTTGGAACGGGACAGTTGCAATTGCAAATACATCTTAAGTGGCTATTTACCAATGCTCTGCAGGAAATGCTGGTTTTTTGACAAAAGTCAACCCTTATACCCTTTGGAACCATAATTGTTTTCTTTCCCCCCCTAATGTTGTTATGCTACCATGCTCTTTTGTATGTTGAAGCCAGAACCACCATGACTCATGATATACTGAAATGAAGATAACTGAGAAGAACAAACAATTTTTTGTAGAAAAAGTTGAACAGAGCATGATTATGTGTTTATTTTTTGGCCTTGTAACCAGAATACACCAGACAGTGTTTGGCATCGAACTTCTTAGTGTTTGCTACATTTCCTTTTTTTAAAAAAGATAAATTTTGTGATAAAGTGCTGCACAATTATATCAATGTGGCCTGTGTTTCAAAACCTTCATTCTTTAGAATGTTGCTCTTATTCTAAAAGCTTCCATTGTGTGCCCTACCCTACTGCATCTTTGCCTTAGTAAAGAAACAAAAATGCAAATATATTTTCAAGGCTATTCTGAAAAACTGATAGAAACCTAGGATTTCTTTTTGATACAAATTTAGTAGCTATGAAACAAATATTTAGTAGCTATGAAAATAGACACATTTTTCCCATGCTCTCAATCCACTTTTCATTTTCCAGTGTCACCTCCAGCACACCTTTCTTACGGTTTCTGTAATAATAACCAAGACAAATTAAAACTGGCAACGCACACTTGTAAGAGCGAATATTGCTATTCATCACCACCTCATCGCTGCAGAGTTTCTTCCACTAAAGAGTTGGTTCCTTAACTTGGCAACTGAGTGCTTAGGGATGAAATCTCTACTGCAGGCTGCTGTCAACCCTCTGCCCCTTCCCAGCCGCTGGAGACTTCTTGCTCCCCACTGTAATAGCATTTGCCATTCATTGTGATTATGCTAAGCCCCTAACTTATGGGTCCCCAATTGGTTGCCATAGCACCTACTAATTTCCCCCCAAAAAGTATGTGGGGCTAGGTGGGGCTTCTGCCTTGCAGGGCTTCTAATTGGCCATTGAAGATCTGATTAGAAGATTTTCAAAAAGTTGCTTCAGCAGCAGGTGCTACCATATCGAAAGGATCTTCACTGTTTGTCTGAAGGTAAGCTGCATGTATGCAAGAAAATATTTTAAAACCGTATGTTCATTTTAAAAGGTATCCTGTTAAACAGAGCTTCTGCCTGAAATGTTGAAGAGTTACTGTTATGCATGACCTCACTCCATGCCATTTTGTGGTTGGCTCCACCTCCTGCAGCAACTCTTTTGTAGTTGTTCCCACCACCCTGCGTAAGATTCCAAAGGTGCCTGGAGAATCAAAAAGGCTGGGGGTCCTGCCCTAAGTAATACCAGTTGCTTCAATATCTCTCATTGACATCTGGGCTCAAAGGTGCCAGTTCATATTCTAGGCCAGCTGGGCAAAAGAGGCTAAGCTAATCATAACAGTGTGCACTTGGGGACAATCCAAAACTAGGTGTTTTAAGATGACATTAATTTCAATGACAGAAACATGCAGTAAGCCAAAAAGTGTTTAGCTTTAGCTGGAATGTACCCATTATTGTTGCTTAATACTATTAAATTACATTAACGCAATTTCTTATAACGAGAACTTGTTCAGAAAATTTCCCCATATCCTGTTTAGGGCTACATGTGTTCCTGAAAAAGACCCTGTACATGCAAATGGGTGCTTTCTGTGGGTGTTCACTGCCCCTCTTCTGTAATAGATGGCTAAGCTGTGCCTGGCATGCCTTCTTTAAAAGCAAACCTACCAATAATTCTACATGAGGGGGGAAATTTTGTGGATCCCTTCTTGCCTGCTGAAATGCTGCTTGGAATGGATTAGTGTTTTGGGTTTTTTTTAACAGTAGCTGCCGTTGGATCGGTGCTGTTGCTTTGGAAAGGTGATACCTTTTAAAATAAAAGTTCAAAACACCTCAGTGGGGGGAAAAACAGGCTCAAGTATTGGGTCAATCATGTCATCAGCTACATAGTCCAGCTAGTTCACAGGCCTAGCAATCATGTCTCGCAGCTATACACATATGTCACAATTACTCATATTAAACTAATGATAAAATATCATAATGGCCCAGCTCTTAGCTATCGGCAGAGTAACTGCAATCTATAATTAAATCTTTTTCCACCAATGACATTAAAAATGACCGGTAAATCAATCTGACAAGGTTCATCAACTTTTGCAAGCCTTTGCAGGCTGTAGCCTCAGCAGAGTGATGTGTTCTTCCCTTTATACTAAGTCCATCCTTGGTTTCTATTGGTACTGGCTTCTCCACTCTAGAAGGAAATACAGGCTAGAACTTTATAGAAAGTTCTATATGTTCTATATGTAGCATGTTTTGATATATTAATGCAGAGTTACTTTGCTATACTAGATAAGTTCCCTTTTATGATCTGGCCAGAGGGCAGAAGGTAGGAGGATGCCTGCAATATAACCAAAGGAAAGAGGGCATATTCTTCTGCCACAATATTTGGAAGCAAATGAGAAATTTTGCAACACTCATTTGAGCCATCCTTGGCTTGGGATGTTAGTACAAATGCTGCACTGTAGCTTTAAAAAGGAATGGTGTGAACTTTCTGTAAACCCCCAAACTTCTGTGTACTGTAGTTTTCAATGTCAAGCAATTTAAAATATGATGTCATTAAGGGCACAGTTTCAATCTATTTTTAAAGTCTGTACTATGAAAGGATTTTATTATTTGAACTAGTGTATGGCAGTAGGCAATAGGTCAAGTAATTGTTAGTAATTACTTTGAAGAAATAGTTTGGCTTGTTACATTTCCAGGGTTAAAGGACAAACAACATGGCAAATGGAATCCTCTTTATTCACAAGCCAGGTATAACCCCACGAAAACATAATGTGCAAGTATCCACTTACAGAGCTATTAGTGCCACTCATTCTAATTGCCAAGAACTAGATTCTTTCTCTTGCAACTCAAAGGAAATAGTAAAACTGACTGGGTATCATTCAGGAGCAGATGTACAGAATTTGTTGTCCTCAAAAACCAAACCACATGGCCAGGTTCCACTAATGTTTTTATGCTTCATACTTAAGAACATAAGAGAAGCAAAGTTGGATCAGGCCAATGGCCCATCCAGTCCAACACTCTGTGTCACACAGCTGCCAAAACCCAGGTGCCATCAGGAGGTCCACCAGGGGCCCAGAACTCCAGGAGCCCTCCCACTGTTGCCCTCCCCCCAAGCACCAAATGTGTGACTTTGATAGTGGGGCATGAATTGCCCTTGCATTTTCCTGTCTTCTCTCGGCTCCTGCTTAATTTATACAAACCCCCTGTATTTACAAAGGACTGGCCCTCCCCTGTCAAAAACCAACTGTAGACAGGCCTAGCTGATATACTGTCCCACCCACCTTTCCCAGACTTTCTACAGTCCATCACTCTCCATTTCTTTCCTGTTCAGACATTGTTTATACATTTGAAGAACTGTGCATCTGCACAGAATGGAGAAACATTTTGGAAACATTAAACCCCTTACAAATCAGCAGAACATCAGACCTGCTTTGTGAATATTTCGTGTAAGGCAGAACAAGCAACAGGTACTAGGACAGCTCAAGATCAGACTCTCGCTGTATGGGTGGGAAGTTAACCAAAGGCTAACAATAACAATTGCAGTACAGACAGTACTAAATGGCTAGTCCGTATTTCTCTTCATTGTGTACAAGATGCCACATGTCTGTGGACATCCTTCCCTGCCTTTGACACCTTCTAGTGGAAAACGTTGGCTTGATCCTCCATCTACCAAAGCACAATTAAATCAAAGAATACTTTGGCCTGCTTCCTATTCATATCAGAAGAAAAACAAGTCTCTGCTAGAACTTCACATAAGGGTAGCTTTCTGCTAGAACGCTGCCCACGAGTAAAAATAAATAAATACATCACTTCCAGATCAAATATTAATTACATGCTAGATAGAATCATCCTATAGTTCAAAGAGAAAATGTATAAACAAGAAGCTGGGCCTTAAACCAGCAGCAATATAAATCCTCAGTTTTGGAGGGATTCTGAAAGATAAATAACCACATCATTGTGAAATAGAAAAATACTGGATTGCATTAAAAACCTTCACTAAGAAAGTAACTGTTAAATGTCACTATGAAAACCCAGTGGCAATATGCCTTAAAACATAATGAATTAAACATCTCTTTAATTATGTTCATTATGCTGTAGTTTCTTCATCGTTTTTTCTCTTCTTTTTAACAAACCACATACACATATGTGAGATCAATGAACAGAAGTTAAAATATCTGATTACGATACAGCAGGATACCAGGTGTCCTTTTTAGGTATTCCTTTTCAATAACTTCCTGAATATTGTAGTTTTCATCCGCAAACCCTGTTCACCTTCCTTTTTAGGTTGGCTTGCTATGATAGGAGGTTCAATCCCCTGAAGCCTGATACAGTTGGTGATTGTGATTGCAGCCTTGTGCGTTCATTTCTTAGAACACCAGTTTAATCTTAGCGTGATTTATAGTAAGTGATTCTGGTTTCCAGTCTGGCTGAAAAAAGTGAATATTGAATGTCCGGGCCCAGTTCTCAAACACTCGTTTCTCTGTGATAAAGCGGTGATGACTGCCCTTTCTTCCTCGTTCATGTGAAATGTACATTGTACATTCATCAGGTCCCAGAGGTTCATAATAATGATAAGGTACTGAAGGATGATTGGGATCCCTGCAGAAGGGGGGAAAAAAACAGAAGGAAGAACAAATCTACTTATTTTGCTGATTGGAGACATGCTAATCATTTGATGGGCTCACAATCGTTATTTAAAAGAAATGTAGCTGAAGCTTAATTAATTTCATAAAATAGCACTTCAAGCAGTATTTAAAGTATTTTTATCTTATACAATTAAACATTGCTATGCTAAAAGAAAGTGGATGAGTGCACCACAGTGCCACGTTGCTATGCAGAGCATGTGAAGCCTGATGTCTGAAAGAGATATGTATCTAGCCTGTGTTTTGAGAGAAGACCTACCGAGCCATTCAGTGGGATGAATAGGCTTTCCAAATGGGAAGCTGATCCCAGCCCTTTGATTCTGTGACTCATACACGCATGAAAATCCTACCAGCATGGTGTATACGATAAAAGCACACCTCATTGTTACTCCTAGCTATAGGCTATCAGCCAGCCATTGTCCCTTTTAAAAAAATGAAATGAAACTCAGTTACAAAGAGAATCATTTTATTTAATAGTGCTAAATTTAATATATTTAAATATTACAGGTTACAACCACAGTCACAGAAGAAGTTCCACCCTATGTTATCCTGCAGGGTAAGTAAGCACCTTGAAGATTTGTCCCAGTTGGCGATAACGTTAGTCGTGAGCTGGTACAAATGCTTTTGATTTCTGCACCAGTGGTAATTTTATGGAAAGGAAGCGTCTGTATTTAACTTGCAAAAGTGTGGGGAAAATACTGAGTGAACTGCAGTGGAGTCTGTTTATTTTATTGCCCTTCTCTGTTATGATTAGAAAAGAAGTGTACCTGAAATAATCCAGGTTTGGTGCAATTACTCTTTCAAGTAAGACAAGTCTACAGAAGGTTTATGTCCACAAAAATGCAGCAGTAGCAGTAGTTTAGCTGTACAGTGCTAGACTGAAGAAAACTGCTCTAGAGTTATGATTCTAGCTTGGTTTCGAATTTCAGGGATCCTAAACTGAACAGTGCATCAAAGGGCTAAATTACATGTGCTGCTGGATATTCAACTCAATTCTTGATGTGTAATTTTGCCCTGATAGACATTGGGAAGGGGGAATCTGGACTGGAGACACAGCACAGAAAAAATACCTGGACACAAACTGTCTAAATACCGTAGAATAAGAGACTAATGAATGTGCACAGTGCACAAAGAAGAGTGTGTCTGGATAAGCCCCACTAAACGTACTTTCCATCCCTCTTCAGTAGACATGGGTGGTACTAGAGTTAAAAGATCTATCACAACATAGATCCACTATACCCATCTCCAATCCTGAGACAATGGCCAGTTCAGATATAACATGAAAGCATGGTTTAATGTGACTAACCATAATTAATTGATCATTTGAATATGAGCCACTAACTGATTAGTTACAGTCCATGAAACAAGGATCTAAAGTTGATTTATTAATCACAATTACGCTTATCTATGGCTTCACATTACATACAAATGTGGAATCCTGGCTTGTTTCCTGTGAATGCTCCAAACCATCCCCAGCTACAGAGAAGTTTAGCAAGAACAACTCAAAATTGAAACTGCTTTGTTTTTATACCCTAAAAGTGCAGGAACAAAGGAATGTTCTATCTTTACATGAAGCAAGAAGTGCTATTATTTTCACCACCTAGCAGGGGAGGACTCTTAAATTCTTGTGGTCTCACTGCCACTGGGATGCAAGGCTGGCTCTACCAGTCTGTGGCAGGGCCAGTCTTGGAGGTACACTCTCCCCTCCCACCTGTCCCAATGCAGCCCAGGTGGCTTCCCAAGTAGGCTGCAGAAGCTCTGAATTGATCATCTGAGCTGAATCCTGGTTCACAAAACTAACAGTAATGACAATAAACCCTTGTTTCATGTTCCGCTTGAACCAAACCTTTCTCTGAGCTGACATCCTACATCTCTTGGGCCAGATGACAGTCCTAACTCCTCCAAATTGAGTTAGGGACTGAGTCAGTTTAAGAATTTGATGTCTCTAGTTTGAATACTGCATATTAAGCATAGTGTGTTAACTCCTCTCTCTGCAATTAAATTTTGATGCTAGCAAATGAAATGCATGAGCAATTTAAACCAGAAAATTGCTAGTCATCCTCATTTATTAATATTAAAACAGATGCTATTTTACCACTCAGTGATACTGGACATTAATCAGTATTTTGTCAGAATTAGCATGCTTATTAATATCACAGCTGGGAGGCATTTATAGATGGCAGTTTGTAAAAGATATCATGCAATAGGCAATTTGTCTACTGATAATACAATGAACAGCAGAGTTTGAAGTAAGGTGACTGCGGTAGAAAAAAGGCCCCAGCAGTCTTTTCTGTTCTGTTCAGCTGAATGAGAAGTGAACTCTTGAGGAATTTACAGTGCAGTAAGTCCTTTCTATGCCCACTGATTTTGATGGGCATAGACTGAAGTAACTCTGCATAGGTTTGTGCGATTAACTTACTACTGCTGAAAGTAAGTAAATGTGCCAACCTGTAGAGAAATATAATCCTTAATCTTTATTATCAGGACTGAACATGTGTAGGCATGATAAGAAAGCATGCCAGTAAAAAAGGACCACTTAGAAGGCATTGTAGTGGCTAGACCTGGGTTGGATTCACTCCTCAGCCATGGGGCTCGTATTGAGGTCAGCCACACACACTTAGCCTGATCTTCCCCCAAACATGCTGTGCTGAGCAATGTGCAAAATAAAGATATAACCGTTATCTTATTGGGGCTTTTCAGCCCTTTCCCCCCTGTTTTTGCTGAGTTATTTTACTGTTCCAATAGTCCCAATTTTTTGTCAACTTTTTTTTTGGCTAGAGTAAATTCTTTACCACTTGCAGAATTGTCAGATCGCTGCAAGGGTGTTAGCCATCCCTAGAGACTCTGCTCTTGTGACAGAGTTGTAATTGAAACTATACCTTATTTTGTATTGAGTTGTGATTTGTATTTATCCATAAGAGTTAAATATATATTGCTTTTATTGAGCAGGTTCCTTCAGTGTTCTCATTACTTTCATCTGTCTTTTGGCTGGTAATGACAGGTGTGTTACTTTGTATCTGGGCCCCGGTCACACGAGCAGGAAACCGCGGGGGGGAAGCGTGGCAGTGTGCCCCGGGGCAAACTAAGGCGCCATTATCTGACCACACCTCCCGTGGAGGTACCGTGGAGGTCCCGTAGGAAGGGAGAGGTGCCGATCGCAGCACAATCCCGCGCGCAAAAACGAAGCGCGCGGTTCGGCAAGCTGGATAGTTTTTTTTTCTGTACAGCACGACTGCGCATGCTCCGTAGGGTGCTTTTGCACATCCATGAAGACCTGGGGGAAAAAACGTTTTCGCAAGGACGGGAACTTGGGCGGGCGCCGGATGCCACCGGAAACGCGATCAGACGCCCGCCCTTGCCCCGCGGTTTCCGGATACTAGTACCTCCGAGGTACTAGTTTTTTGCTGCCCGGTTTCAGCGGGAAGCCTCGTTTGAGCCACGGGAGTGCTACGCTTCCCAGACGTGCTGGTGAGATCGCGTCCGGAAACTCCGCATGTCTTCCGTCTGACTAGGGTGGCTAATGTTCCGTGTGACCGCAGCCATAGTAAAGTTTATATTTTGTGCCCTTAGAATATGTTAAAAATATATCTGGGATTAAGTACTAGTGGGGCTGTTGTTTTATTAGTTTTGCCAAGGTACATTGGGGCACATAGGCACTCTGATTTTTAAACAGGAACAGTTATCCCAATCACTTCCAGTTTGCAGCTCAATACAAACTAAGACAGTAGCTCCCTTATATTTTTAAGAATGATCAAGAGTGCACATTCATCTATACCATTTGTGTGCCAAATCAGGACAAGTAGAGAGGAATTTACAGGGGATATTATTCATATGGAACTCCTGTATCCTGGATTTTTGCCAGAGCTGAAAGAAACATCTGAAGACAATTTTATTTAACTGGTCACAGAGGTAAGGGCTAATTCAGTAGAGAATTATAGGTTTTAGCTTATGTTATGGTTCAGCTGTTTTAATAAGATTTTAACTAAAAACTATAAAATATGTAATCTACTTGTGACGGACAGGATGGAGGCTGCCCTGCCCTGAAGGGATAAACAGCCACTCGAGCCTTATGAGAGTGCTGCTCCAGCATCCAATCGCCTTTCAAAGGTGGGATGGAATGTCAGAGGGAAACACAGGGGAGAGTTCAGGTCTGCCTCAGGGAGAGGGCAGAGATAGTCTGGGTTTGCCTCAGTAAAAGAGCAGACAGTTTGAAGGGTAGTTCTGCCTGGTAGTGTGGTAGAGGGGTTTAGCTCTGCCTCTGAGAGAGCTATAACCCCAGTTTCTCCCACCAATCCTAGCTGAGGGAAGAAATTATATTATTTGGGTTTGTTAACGGAGGGGGGTGTGATAAAGAAAAAGAAAGTAGCTATTCCTCCAGCCCACTGGCCCCCACTCACTAACAGGAGGGACAGTCAGTAGGCAAATAAAGATGAAAGAAGTTCAGACACAATCCCCAAAGCCTCCAATCACCTATAACCAAACAGGAGTAGAACTTAAAATAGAAGTAAGGTTTAATTTAACAAAGAGGGATGGGGAATGAAAGCAGGACACACATGTACAAACTCAAACTTAGGCTGCAATCAGACGTGCTGTTTGATCTGGTGTCATCAGTTTTAAAATGTACATCTAGACAGCAACATCTGTCTTCCGTTCCCCAGTCGTGGGCACCCCGTTCTGACCTGTCTTTGAGTTGGAGTTATTTGGCACTGAGGAAAGTCCGGTCCTTTCTGGTGCATGCGGTTTCACAGCACATTTCCAGATGTCTGGTCGATCCATTGCGCTCTCAAGCCACTTGGGAAATCTGAACATTCCCTTCCGGTTTGGGGCTTGTGGGGGTGGGGGGCAGTTAGCAAGATGAGCATAACTGCATATTTGCACCTCTCTGAGAGAGAGAGAGAGAGAGAGAGAGAGAGAGAGAGAGAGAGAGAGAGAGAGAGAGGAGCTTCTCAAAACTGTGTTTTCTTTTTTAAAAACGTTCAAAGAAAGATGCCTGTGTACTTTTTTCTGTGCTTTGCGGCACATCGGATGGGAAAGGGGTTACTTGAAAAGATATTATTTTTTCAGGGGGGGGCAGTCTGAGAATGATGCCCATGACTCCAGCTTTGCTCCAAGCTTTTAAATAAAAACACCAGCAGTATACAGGAAACAGGATGAGGCTTTATTCTCCCCCACCCCCTGGCTTTGAAATGTTTGAAATGCTGAATTTATCAAAAGCAGTTTCAAAAACACTTCCTTCACACTGAACTACATATCCCAGCAGCCTCCTCCAGCACTTCCATGGGCCACCAGCTGCTGCCATTCTGCCAAGAGTTTGAAGTGCTGCTTCCCATGAACACTTATGCACATGCTCAAAAGACAAATGGTTTTTAAAAATCCTGCTGGGCTGCCCCACTCCGTGGCTGTTGCATCTGATCAATCAACATGGGGTGAATGCGCACTGAAAGAAGTTAAGGGGGGAGGTCTGGTCAAAACTCTCCATTACAAAAAAAACCCCTGGATCAATTAGAAGTGGGGCCACACTGCACATCTGACTGCAGCCACAGACAACACAACTTAAAGTTGGAACTAAAAAAAAAAAATTAGAGTCTTTTCCCCTCTCACAACTACTCTTTGCCTCAGGACTGTGCTTTTCCTCAGCCCTCTCCTATGGCTCCCCCAAAGGGACAAAAAACATTTCCCACCCAAATTCCAATAGAGGGCCAAACCCACAGGGTTATAGAGAATAGAGTACCCAATCATTAGGCCTGGCTCTGGTAATGAATAGATCTTATGCGATTATTCTGATTTAGGAAAGGGCAGGCTGATGTGGATGGAAACCTGCGGGTGTGAGAGAATCCAACCTAGTGCCTAATCGATAAAAGCCTGTTTGTGCCTGAAAACATTAAAGAAAATTCAGATCCCACTCTGAAGCTATAACTAGTTTAAATTCATGTACCTCAATCAGGTTTCTCCTTTGATTACCTGGAGATCTGTGCTGCTGATCAGTTATTTGAAATCAACCTGTAAATAAATATGTCTGTGTTGTTTATATACAGTTCCTGTCTCAGCGATCTCCGTATTCTACTTGCTCATCACAAAATTTACCTCACAGCAGCGAACCCAAAGTCTATACACTTGTTACCTTTGGAACACCTGGCAGTGGCAACTGAGGGGAAAATGTATAGTTCCCCCCAAATCATAGGCGTCTGTGTGGGTCCCTTCAGATGGTAGAAAACTACTGTTACCTCACCTCTCAGGCTATGCACAAAGTGTTTAATTTCATTTCTGTTTTAACAGAGTCTCACATTTTTGACAGGTAGAGATTGTTAGAAACAAATAATGAATGAGATCCTCCAAGCTTGTGGTTTCTCCACTATCTACATACAGTAGTAAGTGGCCGATGTGAGGCAGAAACCACACCCCTGCCCCCATACAATGTTTGCTGGTGGAAATTAAAGGTGTGTTGTCAACTATGTTAAAATCCGTTAATTTACACTGGCCACCCCCTGGCAGCTTGATCACATGAAATGGCCTAAAATAGCCACCCACATGGACAGATCATATTCAACGGAAGAAACTTTCCAATTTCTGATATGTGCAAACATACAAAATCTGTTAAGAACCTAAAGACTCCTTCACTAATTAAAAAAAAAAACTATTTGGAAAATAATTTGAACTAATGTTTTTTACTCCTCTTTTTGCCCAGATTAATTTCATGCCAATTACAGAATTACGTTTAGCTGATAAATATTCAGAGGCTAGAAGAAACTAACAAGATGTGGATTAATTCTCTCACAGTGCAAACAAAAACTTTTAATATTTTATGCAATGTAATTAAATGCTGTTTGTTGTTTTCAGAACCCAATCATGAAACCTGCCAGTTAAGGGCTTCAGGAATACCACAGATACGTTTCAAGGATAGTATAAATAGATTTATATATTTATGTGCAACTATGAATTTTGCAAACTACTCATAAATCCAGATTAAAATTTACCTGCAGAAATCTGGTGGCACCATGCCATAGACGTCTATCCTGTCGCACAGCTCTAATGCGATACTCATTGTGAACCATCCAGTGCTAAGCCAAGTGTTGGATATCTTCCTGAAAGCAAAAACAATTAAGTTCCCAGGGTGACAAGTAATACTTGAGATAAATCAATGTTAGGGGCATTTTTAAGTTATTAAAATTCAGGGAAAGGTTATGAACATTGGGCAACTAACTGCTATTATGCTCTTCTACCATGAAATAGACTCAAATTTTTCTTTCTGGTCTGTGCACAAATGTATTTGGTAATTGTTTTGTCTTTTGCTATAATGCTGCACCCAAAAGTGGTATTTGTCACTTGAGTTTTTGTTAAACAGCAGTTATCGTCAAGTCATGTACTGGCACAATGCTTCTGATTAAAGGAAAGACTCTCTCTGTACATGGTTAATGAAGAATTAAGAGATATATTCACATTTATTTCAGCAGTTGGGCATCCCCTGGATGAGAGTTGCTGGCTCTGATTCAGTGTGACTTAATGATCCTGTTGCACTGCAGTGATATTTCAAGGAGATTTGGGGTAATATACCAGAGTGACAGAATCAGCTACTAATCTTATTATAACCACCAATATTTCTGAAATATTCAAGTGACCGTCTGGAAGAAATCTGGAACATTGCAGCATAACTCCATACCACTAAACTAGCACACAATGCTGCTACAGCATTGTGAGTGCATGGCACCCTGTGAGCAATCACATCTTTAGGATCAGGATGTTAGGAAATTGGCTTAAGAGAAAGTCCAGAGAGGGTAGCCTTGTTAGATTACTTTTAGTCACTAGTCACTTTTAAAAAACTTTTACTTGTTGCTCCTGACACAGCCTGGGGGGGGGGGTTGCCCCTGCCTTATTTAGATGCCACTCCTCCCCCCAAGTCAAAAATCCTGGCTACGGCCCTGGTTCTCACATCTGTTTCTTAACTCTTGTATTCATATGCTAATTTGCTGCCAATCACAGGTCTTACCAACTGCTTTTCACCTATGTTTAACACCCTGCCATACTTTTGTCTGTTCGGAGACAAAGCCAGCAACAGCCAATGAGGCCCTTGCATGTACTACAAAGGGAGGAAAGAGGAATACATTCTGGGATAAATAACAGGTATTTCTGTAGGCTTCAATGAAAACAAATGGAGTGAACTTTTGGATTGGCCCTGATTCAGAGATCCTCCTTCACAATAGCTGAGGGCAGCACGCAAAGATCTCTTTCTCCTGCTCCCAGCAGAAACTGATATCTGGAGCAGTTAGCTCCGACAGTGTTGGAATCTGGATTCCCTCCCTAACTTGCAATTTTCACTGTCAGAGGCAACAGTGAGGATAAGCTGTTTGGCAGTATTTATATAGGGCACAGGCATCAAGTGCCTATACCCAGAAGCCCCACAACATTTATGAGGCTACACCCAGCAGGGTGAAGCATAAACTTGCTTCTGTGTATGAATTGCTTATGGTAGATTGGTTTACAGAACATGAATGAGCATATGGGGGTGGTAAAAAAAGCTTTATTGTTCTGGATTTTTATTTATGGCAAAAAGTATTATTGCACTAGGCAGCAAAATCAAGGAATCTTAAGAAACAAGTTGGAGACAAAAGATTAGGCAGTTGAAAAATACAAACCTGGAAGACCATTCAAATACTTTTTAAAAAGTGGTTCTGCCTCTGCTGATGATGCCACCGTGTTTTGTTTTTATTTTAAAATGGGGAAAGGTTCTTACAAAAGAATATATTTTACAACTGCTACCTTGTAATGAATGAAAATGAAAGCATGTCATGTGCTTATTAGAGGAAACCACATAGTCTTTTATGTGATGAAGTAACACTGTCCCAATAATTCTGTGGTGCATACTAAATTACAATTAAAGACCTTTCTGCTCCATCACAATCTCATTTATAATCTCTATGGAAATTCTTTTTCTGCAGTTATTTCATTTGTGCTTCTTTTATCTAATCACTGTAATATCTGAATCATATTTTCTTAATGGACCCTTATTCAATTAGAAACTTATTCTCAAGTAGAGTTACTTTGTAATATGGTTTTGCAGCTTCTGTGATTAGATATCCCATATAATTGCCGCTATTTTCTAAATGTTGCCCTACATTTTAAAATAAGCATTGTAATAGGACATATTGCATCAGTTAGTCTTTTTAACGGCAGTATTAACGGTTATTATAGGAGTAGAGCTGTCAGCTATTGTACCTCGGAAATCTGAGTCTTATAACGTCTTTTTTACAATTGATGTGCTTAAATCTTATGCCAGATGAGCCCATTCTATGTAGTGTAGTTTGTCACATACAAAGACTCTTCTTGTCTCAGTTTTCTGCAACTTCACCTTCCTTTATTAGGCAGTTAATTTTATGTATTTATTATTTATTTAGAAAAACTTTGTGCCTCCTTTTCAGGAATCTGCCCCGGTTGGCCCATCATTGGCAGTCAGGATGGGCTTTGATGCCTTCGATGCCAGCAGCAAGGGCTGGAGGTGAAGGGGAAGGACCAAAACGTAGTTGCAGAGCCCCTATCAGAGGTGAGTTTGGGGTGAAACTGGTTAAGTCCTTTCTTTTCTTTTAATAAAGGGATGGGGTAGGGGGAGCCGACTGTCAGCTCAGCTGTTTGACTGCGCCTGGTTCCCTTAGAGTTTAAAGGGTTATTATTTTCTGTAACTGTAGACCTGGCCCCAAATCTACTCTCATAGAAAATAATAACCCTTAAAATTTAATGGGACCAGATGCTGCCAAACAGCTGTTTGCGGGAAAAGCTGCCTCTTTGCTCCCTCTTTAACACTGTACCCCAAACGCTCACAAAATTTGGAGACATAAATTACTGTAACTCCCAGAATTTTGGGAGTGTTCTGAGTCAATTTGGGTATATTTTCAACTTATAGCCTACCAGTAAGGCCTGTTCCCAATTGGCTATTGTCATAGTTTTTTCATGCTTAGGCCTCTATAAAGTATCGGAAGACATGCTGGCTTTCAAAATCAGTTTCCCAAAACATATAGCAGCTTGGGATGTTGCATGCATACTTCCACTGAAAATAATGGTGCTTTGAAATGGAAAGAGCACATAACTTTGCATTAGATTTACTCCTCTCCAAAGTGAGCTCTTAATTTATACATAAATGCATTAAGTGGTACTTGAGCTTTCATCCCATTTTTACTATGTAGAAACATAATGAGTACACAAGTAATAAAAATAAATTTATCTTTTAGCAGGGAAAAAAGAAGATGCAGTTTCAAACATTATCTGTAGAAATGTGTTAGTCATATAGAGGGTCACTTATTAAAAATTTGATTTGAAGATCTGTTTGCAAGCCATAAATGGACTCATAAAGAGGCACATATCGTAATAACTTGCCTTTTTCCCAGTTGGAGATGTAAGATGAGCGCTTCAGAAGCACCTAATGTATGAATAATGTGTATTTGTTTTACAAGAAGCTTTACTGCTGCAATGTTCCAGGAATGCTTATATTCAATAAGTAGCCATTATAATTCACAGAATGGCGGCATTGGCTCCATAAAAATAAAACCCATCAATTCTGATTTTTCAAAACCAGTAAAAATCTACTTTCAGGTATATTACCCAAAGTGAGATTTAAACGCAGTGTCTTCTTTCTTGCTGTGCTGCTCTGCAACTCTCTTTGGTGGCTGTATAGAGGCACTATTTTTAGCATTAGACACTGATGGGCAAATAAATTATTTGATTGCATAGCTGTGCCTTATGTTGCCATGGCTAAATGCTAATATTTGACACATAAAATATTACATGTTAGTGGAAACCAAAGAAATACAAGCACATTCTAGAGATGTTGATGAGAATGCAATTAATGTGCATCGTGTTCTATTACAGACCTGAAAATATAAGTACTTCTCTTACCTGTCTTTTCCAGTTTCCCGTTTGAAGAGATCATCAAACTGAAGCATCTTGTGCCGAGATATCATGTATACTTTTAACTGAGGTAGAATCTGATTCATTAGTTGCAGGTTATTATAAACTAACCCTTTTCCGTCTCTCCTCATATAGATGGTGGGACCCCAGAAGATAAATACAGTCCCTTGGCTCATATTTAACAGTTCATTGCGATTCCGCAAAATCCTCTGAATGCTGGAGTGAGCTATGACTCGTAAGCTTGTCTTGTTTCCAACATCTTTTCCAAATCCTCGTGTGGGTGCATCATTCATTCGTATTACACACTCTGTTTGGTCAATCTTGCTGCCTTGTTGGCTTCGCAAAAGGTGTCCTGAGCTTGATACCAGGGCACAACTTGTACAGTGCATTTTCAAAGGCTGTGGACAAATATGGGACAAAGAACAAAGATACTCAAATCTGCTGAGAATTTTTAAAGGCATTATATAAATAATTGAATGAATGGTAGGGTTCTGATATCATGAAAGATACACCACATCTAAAGAGTAAGCTGGTAGATCACTCTCAGCCTAGAGAACAGATTTTCCTTGAGAGACCCTTCTGCTAGTGAACAAAAAGAAACAAAAATGCAAAGGTAGACCATCAATAAATATACAAATTTCACAAGTTGCCAGTAAACACAAGTCTATTGAAACATGGTAACATTACATCAATAAATAAAGTAGAATTGGTGGTCACAATTCAAAGATAATGGTCACAGTAATGGTAATAAACAGCAAGAGACTCCTCTGAATCCTTTCATGAAATAGTGTCCAAAGGACCTCAAAGTCCACCAACAAGGCAGAGGATGTCCCAAAGAACAAAGAAACTTCTGCAGCTGAAAGACATCCTTCCCAGGTATGCCAGATGTTTCAAAACATACTTCCTCAGTTACATGGCTAAAAAAATGGCACTGTGCCTAGACTATTGTGGAAATCTGGTTTCATTTTTTAGCCATGTAAAGAGCAAGTTTACCTTCTCCTTAATGTAGCCCACTGTGTCTCATATATTTTATTCATGAGGTTTCTACAACTGTAGCATTGGCTTTTTTGAGGTCTGGGACCTACTGGATAAAGGGAAAGCTGGAGAAATATATGCCATTGTGAGCTCCTTCTGTTGACATGTCATACACTCTGACTTAATGTTTTATTTTAATCTAGGTTTGCACTACCTGGACTGCTTTGACATGGGCTGTGGTCACACACACTAAATAATCCACTTTCAATCCACTTTCAGTGTACTTTCCAACTGGATTTTAACTGTGTGAACTGGCAAAATCCAGTTGGAAAGTGCATTGAAAGTGGATTGAAAGTGCATTATTTCATGTGTGTGACCGCAGCCATGGAGATGATTCTCCGTGTAGCTCTCACTGCTGCTGCAATGTAGATGCATTTTCAGTAGCAACGATACATCCATATGGAAGTTTTCCCTGCAATTTTCTTCCATCAGTCCCCTGTGGTTGCCATTTCTCCCTCCTACTGGTGTGTGTGTGTCTGTATAAAATTCACTTGATTGCTCCAGCATTCACTAAAAATTAACAAGTCTCTACCCTATTTTGTCATGGTCATAAGAAGAAACGTACTGGCTGTATATTTCTCATAATTCCAAAACCAAAAGGGCTAGAGACATACTTTTAAAAAGAAAAGAAAGAAAGCTGTAAACCAGTACATTTTTGCAATAGATTGTTGTAACTCTATAGCAAGATGGCTATTACTGTGGTGTTGTTTTTTTTAAAGCATTTAAAAGCCTTCCACTTAGGGAAAATCGTGGTTGCAGGGACTAAGGTAAGAAACAGGGCACCAGTGTGAGCAGGATCTACAAAAACGATGTGGGAAAATGCAGTCGCAAGGTCCTGGAGGAAAACTTTAGGCTGCTAGGCAGGAAACTCAAAACCAGGACCTCCAAGGTAGCCTTCTCGGAAGTGCTACCTGTTCCACGTGCAGGGCCAGAGACAGGCACAGATCAGGAGTCTCCAGGGCTCTAGTCGGGGGGGAGCTCTCAGGTACGGAGCTCCGGAAGAGAACCTCTAGGGGGCGGGGCGGTCAAGTGGTGAAGCCCCGCCCCCTTCTTTACCCCGCCCTCTGCTTCGATCCTCATTCCGTTTGGGAATGAGGATGAAGCAGGAGGGTAAGTAGCCGGGCCTTCTGACACACTTCCGGTGATGTCAGGGGGTGTGGCCTTCTGTCACTTCCGGTGATGTCAGGGGGCGTGGCATATGCAAATAAGTTATGCTAATGAGTTATGCTAATGAGCTCCGGCCGCTCTTTTTCTACAACAAGACCCCTGGGAGTCTCAATGCGTGGATGAAACGATGGTGTAGGGGGGAAGGGTTCAAGTTTGTTAGGCACTGGGATACTTTTTGGAATAAGAAAGAGCTGTACAGAAGAGACGGTCTCCACTTGTCCCGAGAAGGAACCAGGCTGCTAGCACTTAAAATCAAAAAGGTGGCAGAGCAGTTTTTAAACTGAATATTGGGGAAAAGCCGGCAGGAGATGAAAAGTCTATGGTTCAGGATGGCTCATCTCAGAGAGATGAGGGGGTAGCTGTTGCTTTTCTATAGGGAGGTGGATTGGAATTGTCCACTGAGGCTAGGGCTAGTGATATGGACTGCCTGACAAGGTCTCGAGATAGCAAGAGGAAGGTTGCAGACTTAACATGTATGGGGAATTATAGGTGTTTCTATACAAATGCTAGA